TGCCCTTTCTTGAGTTGGTTCAGCCATTGAAACTGACTTCTGAGGGAAGAAGTCTAGAAAATTCTGATCTCTGATTCTGATAATTTCAAACCTTTTTCTTTTTTTTTAATGTTGTATCTAAATTGTTCTAACATGGAAATATCTAAAATGTTATCAACATTTTAGCAGTTAGCAGGAGTTAGCAGTGTCTAAAATGTGAGCCACTGCACTGTGGTTTTGTTCTGCTGGTTGTATCATATTCAGATTGACTCCATCAGCCTTATCAGAGTTACTGGAGATTTACACTGTTCTAACAAAACTGAACCTGATCATGTCTTCTGTTACTGCAAGCACTGTTGCAACTGCTTCAAAACAACAATCTGATTTAATAAGAACAGTACTGCAGTCATTTATGGGTCTGCTAGGAAGAACAAGCCCCGCTTTTTTCCTGGCTGGACTGGGTGGGGAATAGCAGTTGTATCGCAGTATTACATAAGTACAACAAGTACATAAGAGAACAACAAACCAACACATGGCACTGAGACTGACAGCAGTTTGAGTACATTTCTTTTAAAAATAACCCCAGCAAATGGGAGGAACACAAATAAGAACATTTTCCCAGGAACTGCTTAGAAGAAAACACTATTATTGGACGACTTCTCTACCTATATTCAAAATGAATTCACCAGTCTTTTGTAACCTAAAAATGTGTATGGTTACATGAGAAAGAAATAATCAATCTGTTTAAGATACAAAAGCAGGGGCAGGTTTAGTAGGCTGTTGAACCTGAGCTGTAATCAAAGGGGCTTCTGGTACTTGGTATATTAAGGGATTAAGTGGTATCCCCTCTGCAGCATTTGTCACACTTTGTGTCTGAACAGAAGCACCACGTGTCTGAGGTAAGTTTTGGTTTTCCTCTTTTTCATCCTTTTACTGCTTTGTATTTCTAAACTACAGTGTTTCAGACACTAACTTAAAATACAATCTACAGGGTAGTATTTGTGGACAGTAATTTTTCAGGCCAAGTTACATTATTTTTCAAGGGAGGCACATATATAGAGCATTAGACAGAATATGACGATTTAATTTTCACTTCTGATTGGACAAATGTTTATTTTCCTTTGGCTTTGAAGACTGACAGACTTCATTATATGTCTCGATAGTTTTTTTGGCTTATAGTATTTTGGAACTATTAATACTTTTATTTGGAGTTAAGCATAGAATTTGTCAAAGCAATGCTTTTACAAAAAGGTTTACCAGACCCTTCATATATCTTAGCTACTCTTTTAACCAGAGATAGTACATCTGTCTATATTTTTTGTGTTGTTGATACTTAAAGTAAAATGCTGTTCTGTTGTAAATGTGTGACTAAAAGTCTCGAGTTAGACGGTAATAATTTTTCAGTTTTAGTAGTCTTGCATTTTGCCTTATTTCACTTAAATTTCACTAATTTTCGTGCAACTGTGAATGTTGGGCACCTGTGGGAATTCAGGCAAATCTCAAGGTGTTTCTCAGTTGTAACCAACATTTTGGCAGTACAGTAAAATGATCTGTCAACTATTTTGGAGGGAAAATATTTTTTTTAATGAATCTTTACTCTTTTCCTTTGCATTTAAGGAGGAGCATTTTAGTATTTTCTTCTTTGAATTTTAAAATAACTACCAAAATAGCTTCATTTACCTCTCTTAATGATACTGGGTACTTATATGATTGGTGTAGGAGCTCCCTCTATAGGTTTTATTTTAAATCTCAGTTTAGGAAAATAAAAAGGAAAGGAAATTCCACTTATTGTCAGTGCTTTATAAACATACTCAGTTGAACAACATTACATGATTTTTAAACAGCAGGATTTTATGAAGAAGAAATCCATATATTTCACCAATGGTAAAGTATAGGAATGTAATAATGTATTACAGATTTTATAGACTTATGTTTTTACAAAGAAATTATACTTTCAATAGCAGCCTAATAAACTGTGTAACTTAAGCTACTGTTTTATAAATTTTCACTTTTGTAACTACATTTATACCATCAACAGTGAGTTGCTGGTCTGTGTCTCATGGGCAGGTGCTCAGTGCTGTGCTAGCTCTCATATATCCACGTGCACATAAACTATTTTATGTTATAGTTCTGTTACAAACACAGTTTAGCATAGCATTGTATAAGATCATGTTATATGAGGTTTCTCTTGAATAACTTAAGTGGTCTTCAAAAAAAAAATGAGCTGGACTAACTGAACAGCTGACTTGAGGGAGAATATTAGAAGTTTGCATTAACCTTCCTTTGTATATAAATATTGATTTGGTATATAACTATTAAATAATAGTTGATAATAGTTAATCATAAACATATTGTAACCAGCATTCTGAAATTTATGTCTGTACTAGTCCCCTATTCAGCATTTCTTATGACATGGCATTGTACACGCAGAAGTAGAAAAATTGATAATGCTTTAAAAGAAAATGTTAAGCCCTGTACACAGAATTCTGGGGTTATAAAATAAATCCTCGTTGGCATTCATATCAGAGCATTTGGCTTTCAGAGATGAAATTGAGGTCTATATACAAACATAGAAGCAAATTGTTTGGTTGCAAACTAATGAAATTATTGTGGTCATTATTACAACTAAACACTAATTAAATAGTTTGAGAAAATTAGTGAGGATAGTGGGCTGGAAATTATTCTCATTGTATAAACTCTGTATAATATTTTTCTTGTATATCACGCTGTTACTCTGAATTTGCAAATGACAGAAGAATTTGGCCCGTAGTCCAGTTTAGAAATGTTCTATATCCTTGAGAAAACAAGAATGGGTTGGAACATGCATATATTATTGATGTTTCTAGTTCTTACTTTCATACTGTTCATAAATAGAGTTTGTAAATAAAAACCCTAGATTTATGACAGCAAAAAAAGTCAATTAAAATATCTATTACTATGCTTTTGAATACTCTTCCAAGTTATTTGTAAATAGGAAGCCACTAATAAATCTGAATTGGCTCATGAGTCAAGCATCTTATTTATAATTGCTACCTTCCCAGTCTTCAAAATTAAAAATTCTGTCACTAAGAGCAATAATGTTTAAAAGTTTTCACATTTTTGCTTTATGGGAATTTACCAGCTGCATAAGGAAAACACTGTTTCCTTACACCTGTGTGCAGACCTTGAAATATTTTTGTCAGTGACAGCTAGAAAGGAACATCGTAAATTATAAATAAACATTGCAAACAATATTCCTGTAGTAGCCATGACTTCCAAGAGAGTCTGAGGACTGCTAACTATCTGAAATAGTGCAGAGAAAAATAGAACAGCCATATTTTTGTTTTATCTAAATCTGCTACAAGGAAATTACCTTGTCACAATGTAGCGTCTAATTCTCTTAGGGACAGACTTGTAGTTAAATAATTCTAGTGCTCAAGAGAGCTAGACAGATTCAGCTTTTCTTGCATGAGAAAGAGTAGTAGAACTGTATCTCCCAATCAAAAGAGCTCTCATAATTGAACAGAAAAAGGTAATTATTACCATCGCTGGTGGCTTAAATTTTTTGCAGGCCCTACTTTGCACAAGAACATGTATGGGCAAATCCCCTTCACGTGGAATAGACAAGCCAGTGGCTTCAGGGCAGAAGAAACCTTGGTCATAGAGAAGTGTTCAGACATCTAGGAAACTTAAATAGAAACTGAATAGACCTGTGTGTCTATTGGTGGGGCTTCAGGACTTAGATATTGCATGAAATAAGCAGTAAGTTTGAAGCCCTAAATTTTGGATGTACATTCTAAATATGGAAAGTAAATTGAACTCTAAAGTTTTTTCCTTTAAAGAAAGTAACTATGTGCTCATTGAGAATAGGGCTGAAACAGTAAGTGGTGCACACATTGTGGAAGCAGAATTGTGGTTGAACCCTTTTTATTCTGTACCAGAGCTTTATTCTGTATTTATGATAAGATACAGAAAGTGTCATGCATGCTAATTTTTCAACAAATCAAGACTTCACTTCAGTAGTAGAAGAGTAGATGTGGCTTAAGGGAAATAAAAGTATTACAGTCTAGTTAAAAGAAATAAAGCTGCTAGGATGGGCAGGTTTATTACCATATGTTTGGTGTAGTTCCTGTAGTAATAGACCACAGCAATTGTAACTTATGCTCCAGTAATTTCCTGCCTCTTTGATGACATCTGCTTTGTAATGGATTGGCAGGTGGAACCAATCGTCCTTTGTGTCCTCCAATTCCAGAATAATTTCTCTTCAGTCTTTAGTGTGTTCTGGGGTGGTTTTTTTTTCTTTTTTGGCTTAATTTTTCTCTTGTTTAAGCATTGTACTGTTTTCCACTTCTGTGATTTCAGCCTAAAAAAGTGATACTACAACCAAGCATGAGAATTGGTTCCTAAAATGGAGGTGTAGGATTTCAATTTTTGTTTTCAATATTGTTACTACTTTCCTGAAAAATGTGTTGTGCATCCCATTCTCCTCACACTGCAATATCACATCACTACTTTAAATATAGGGGAAAACAAGTTCAGGTAGAATGCATAGAAAGAGTAGGCTAAAACTGACTTGTTTCTATTGTGAGTGTCTTCAAAGTAGTGTTGATTGCTTTTGATAGAAGATTTGTAATCTGAACAGGGACTGTTACAGTGGCCTAGTAATCTGCATCTCTGTCAAGACCAAGGGTAACTGAAATAGAATGGCAGAAGACGGCTTCAGTCTCACAGAAAATACTTATCCAAAGCATTTAAAGAGAAGATGTCTCAGTCACTTATTTACCCATTTTCTGAAAACAGAGGAGATAATAAGGACATACAGTCTTACCAAAGACAGCTCAAGTTCAGCTAAGCTAAGCCTAGAGTTTTATAGTTCTAATGAATTGTTTGTAAATACTGTTAGGTAGAAGAAGTATAATAGTTTGTGAAGCAGATTCTGATGTGAAGCAGATGTGGCTGCTAGCAATAGTAAGGAAGTGGATTTTATCGCCCTCACATTTTTCTAGTCTCATTCCTAACTACATTTTTCTCTTTCATTGCAGCCCAGAAGATGGTGAAATCCATCCTGAAATCTGTAGACTATATATCCAGTTGCAGTGTTGCTTAGAAATGTACACAACAGAAATGCTAAAGTCCATATGTCTGCTAGGATCGCTGCAGTTTCATCGGAAAGGTACTGGATTGCACAAATATGCAGATGCTTGTTTTAGAAAAAGAACAATCTTTTGGGGCATGCATGAATATTCATGAAAGATAAAACACTGTCCTGGTTTTGGGTGAGGTGGAGTTAATTTTTTTCATAGTAGCCATCATGGAGTGATATTTTGGATTTACACTGGAAGCAGCATTGATAATACAGGGATTTAGTTATAGTCGTTGTTAAACCCACACGAGGTTCAAGAGCCTTTTTGCTCCTCACCCCACCCCACCAGCAAGGATGCTGAGGGGGCCCAAGGAGTTGTGAGAGGACACAACCAGGACAGCTCATTCCAGCTGACCCAAGGGATATCCCAGACCATATGGCATCATGCCTAGCATATAAAGAAGGGGAAGATGAAGGAAAGTGAGAATATCAGTGAATCAGTGATGGCATTTGTCTTCCCAAGTCATTATAAGGTAGCCTTGTTTTCCTGGGGATGGCTGAACACCTGTCTGCCCATTGGGAGAGGTGAATAAATTCCCTGCATGGCTTTTGCTTTACTTGTTAAAATTGTCTGTTCCTCAACTCAGGAGTTTGCTCACTTTCACCCATTCCATAGTCTCCCTCATCCCACAAGAATGAGCAAGTGTGGGGGCTTCATTGATGTCCAAGGTTAAATCACAACAAGCACCAAACTGTAAAGTGAATTATATATATATATATATATATATATATATATATATATATATATATATATATATATAAGTAGGTTCTATAAGTATCTATAGGTAGGTCCTATAGGTATCTGTAGGAACCTATCTATAGGTTCATCATCATTCTTACAGAAGTGTGTCTTACCAGGTATGTACCACTAATGTCCTCACCATTTAAAAGTCTGATTCTTTTTTAAAAAAGTAGTTCCTTAAGTTTTAGCTGTCATTAGTCAGACAAGTGGGCAAACTTAGTAATGTTATTAGACATATTTGTCAGGCAAGATATGTTATTAATAATGTTGCTGTTACTATTAGTTTTCTTATCTCACTGCTGCTTACCTCTTACTGCTGGCTATCTCTTACTGGTTCCAGTAAATTGTTCTTATCTTAACCTGTGATCTTCACCTTTCATGCCTCCAATTCTCAACTCCAGCCTGCCCCAACAGAAGGAGGAGGGGGAGAGAGAGAGTAGCCTGTGGCTTAGGAGAATGTCAGTGATAGCACTAAATTGGGGAGTATCATTCCTAAAACATTACCATAGCAAAAGGTAGATAAATGTGGTTCAAAAGATGCCCACCTTTATAAAAACAAATAATAGACTTGGAACTGAAAGGAGATGTCATCACTTCAGTGAAAATGCATCTCTCAAGTATACATTTCATTCTTGATTAGGTGCCTTCTGAAAGGAAGATGTAGAAATGCTGATAATTTACTGTATAGTTTACTTAGTAACCTCATTGCTTAGTGATGACGCAGGCTGATTAGGGCTGTATCTGTGCTGATTGTAACTACTCTTTCCCTAGATAGTATCTCATTAATAAAAAACATAGTAAAGCAAGGAAAAGTTCTGTAGTGAACTGTAATAAAGATCTTGCAAAGAACCTGTTGCATTTCCTGTCATGCTAAAAGATCCTGTAGCGTACTTTTCATATCTACCTGTAGAATACTGCTAAAGCCAGGGATATTTTTATTATGAAAGAAAGAATGGGAGATTTGTAAATGCTTAACTGTGGTTCTCAATTATTTTTTCAAGTCAAAAATAAGTCTATAAAACAGGAAGAGAGAGAATTAGCAGAGCCATTGTAGAACAAGATAATAGTAGCTGTTGAAATGAGTCATTGTTTTTAAGACAGATTGTACCACATTTCCTAGCATTGGCAACAGTTGTCAAACCATCTGCTGAACTGCTGAAAGTAAATAGCTTAAAGTGACCTGAGTAACTCTGAAATGTCTTGTCTCTCCCTTTTGCTTCTGGATGGAATTTACATTAATAGCTTAAGCTAAACATCAAACTATTCAATGTCTAAAGTTGGATTAGAAGAGCTACACCTTAGTTCCTACCTTGCAGTAGGTTAACTTTGATAGACATCTGTTTTTCAACTCACCACAGAGATCATCATGTTAGTTATTCTGGCCCTACTGATTAGTGATTTTTGTCCGTGCCAGATAGAGTGTTTTAGAGATAAACACAGTAACTTGGCTTCAAGCTTCTGTGACATTTTTGAAAAAAATACATAGTAGGCAAAAACTATATGATGACAGGGATTCAAATAATTTGAATACCCAATAGACAATAGCTTTTTTGTGTTAAATATTTAGTATTGGCAACACCTAGAAGTATTGCAAGGGCATCATGCAATGATGGAAATTCAAGTCCTGTGTTAATTGTTTTTTCACCATGAAGGTAGCTGCACGCTACACTGGCACCGAGAGGGGCTGTGAAATATCCATTCTTGGAGATACTGATGACTCAAATAGTCCTGAGCAGTCTGATGCAAGCTAGCCCTGCTTTCAGTGGGATGTTCCACTAGATGACTTTGCAACTTATTTATTCTGTGTTCTGACAGAACATACCATTTTCAAAGGAGCATTCTGAACCCATACTTTTCATTGGTTTCTTTACTTACAGAGAATGAAGTGTAGGCAAAGTGCATAAATTTATCTCTGGGAAGGAAAGAGACAATAACCTCACCATTATAAAATATATTGTGATGCTGCTGTGTTTTTTGTTTCTCCACTTCTTTAGTTTTTCACAGTTTTTCATCTGAGTGACCATATTAAAAAAAAGTTTCTTGTGCCCTTAACTTTTGCTTAACCCCTAGGTGTGCATGTCTGGTGTTCTTGTTCTGTCTTGAAGCTAATTTCTGTGGGTAATATTTTCCTTGTGGATGTAGCATTTCCCTTCTCTAGCCCTCTTCCTTGCCAGACAATTTGTATGTTAGGTTTTTAAACCTCCCATGAGATTTGACCAATTCATGTTCTTAGTCAGGACACAGCAGAGATTCAAGTAGAATGACATGCAGACTGTTCTCAGCAACCTGTGGCTTGTAAATAATAATGTAGGTATTGGTAGCTTGATCAGAATTTATCAAATAAGCTACAGAACTGATAAAACTAAGGCAGTTTGCTGATGCTGATGTTCTTTTCCTAAGAGAAACTCAGCCAGCAGAAAAAAAAAAAAGATGTCTTACTAGGAAAGATATTCTCTTAAGGAAACACCACATAAAAATTTGAAGGTCTGAGCTCAGGTTCTTGACTGCCTTTCACAGCACATATCTTCTCATATCTCCTTATCTTTCTTTTCAGCTGAACAAATATTCCTTTATTTGCTGTATATATATATAAATCTTCCTGTACAGAAATTTCTTGCATGGTTACTGTGTTTTAGAATAAATTACTGCTGTTATAGAACTGCTGCTAGAAAAGTCAGATAGTCTGTTATTTCTTTGAGTTGTAATGGCCACAGTGGGGCCAAAAGCCATAAAAATTTGCAGCTGTGTTACACAGTAAGTAAACTGAGGTAAGTGCTCTTCAATAATTTTTTTTGTAAGATACCTACACTACAAAAGCCGAATGTTGAGAATATATAATGATTCAACAGTTCAGTATTCAGAAAGTTTGCAAAGAGCACAAGGAATCATGCCTAAGTATCTTTAATTCAAGTGTTTTGTAGTTACTTAGTCTGGCTACCTGATCATTTAATCTGTTACTCCTCCTTTCCATAATGCCAGGAGTTCTGGCTAACTAATACGCATATAAGTACTTACTTGGGCCTACATCTTTCTTTTATCCTAATTGTTTAGTGTCATATATTTTATTTATTGCACATCATGAAGAAAAAATAACAGTTATTGAGATATGTGAGTCCCACCTGACATGTATAAACAACAGGTGAGGGCAGAATGATGCCAGCACTAACCAAGTACAGGTACCTGTATAGTCATGCAAAAAAGGCAAGAATTGAGTCTTACAGGAAAATCAAGCATGCATACTACTTGTGTTTCATGTAAGAAATTCATAGAGGTAATTATTGTATTTCCAGTGATTTGTGATAAAAATATGAATCTCCTTAAAATAGTACCTAAAAGTGATAGCTTATTTTACGAACTACAAAAATGAACCCTTGGTTCAGTGGAGAGATTTTTTTCTTTTTGGCTTTGTTTAAATGGCATGCTTTTTAGAGTTTTGAAGGGTAAAGGAAGGATTTTTTAATGGTTGTGCTACAATCATAGTGTTCTATTTAAAGACTGGTAGATATGTACTATTACTTACACATTTCACTTATGCAAGGAGGGATAAGATGCAGGAGTGTAGAAGAGCACACAGGTAGGGAGAAGCAAAATCAAGAGACACCCATTCTTACCTTATCTTCCTTACCTTATCTTACCTCTTATCTTCAAGAGACTCTCATTCTTCATACTTACTTCTATGAAGAAGTGAAGGAATGGGACAAGAACAGCCATGGAAGGAGGGTAACACAACTTTCATCATACAATCGTTGTTCCTATTGCATTTTCTTTAATAATAGTGTTTCCAGTGAGATGGTCTCCAAGATCTGCAGGTCCTGAGTGTAAATGGAGAATTAAATTCCTCAGGCTGTTAGCCATATTTGTCAAATACCTTTTTTACTTCCTGCACAATTCTTTCCTATTCCCCTTTGTACATTTTCCTGCTCATGCAGTTTAGCTGTGATATATAGCTTGTGCATTTATCCTTAATTACCAGGTTAGAAACCTGATGTAAACACTGCTCTCTTTTTGAGAGAGGGATTCTCTCAGCTTTGTTAGTCTGATATGCCACCCAAAGATCTCAAGTTCCTCTGCAGTGAAATGCTGAGGGATGGGGTTTTTTTTGTCTTTTTTTTTTTTTTCATTCATCACAGTTCTGTGCGAATTAGGTGATGACTAAGAGTAGGTGTCTAGGGTTACATGAAGACAGCTAACACAGAGATCACCACAGAAGCCATAAGGGGCACAACAGGTGAGACACATAAATGATGATGTTACTGAACTGACAATTTTTTGCCCTCTTATTTATCCATACTCACGTTTGATACTCAGCATTATTTAACTAAATTGATTTAATTTCATATCAAAAGCATTTCCTCCTTCTTACAGTAAAAAAAAAAAACAAACTGAATTACTGATGAGAAAAGAAAGAATATATCATTGCAACTAAAATTATTAAAAATCTTTCCACTGACTACATTGAAAGTAAAATTAAGGGTTCATATCAATTTTTTGAAGTACCTATGACAGAAGATATCCTTCCCAGTGACTGTAAGGATGAAAAGATTTAGAAGCTTTTGTTTCCCTATAGGCTGTGACCAGGGTAGAAATGTTAAGCCTGAGTCATACATTATTCAAGCAAAGCCTTTATTATTAGCTGACTCTTTAACTGCTTTCAAGAGACTGAGCAAATGATCTGAAATTCAAGAAAGGCTTCATGAATTGCTCACAATACAACAGAATTACTGGTAATCTTTTTCTAGGTGAAAAGAGATCTGTGTAGTTCCTTCTGCCAAATCTGCAAGAGCTTGTCTTTATGCTGATGAAAAGAACATTACAGTCTGTGCTTCTGTTCTCAAGCTGAGAAAAAGAACCTTTACTATTATTTCATCTAGTGCTGTTACTGTTTCCATTGAAACACCTTTCACATCCCTGAAGAATGCGTCTCTCCAGCATGTCACCAAGGGTCAGGTCAGGGTTCCACCATGACACTTAAAGATAATGAAACAATCCACTAATACCCTATTTCATGAGTAATGCCTTGTGATATCAGTGGCACATAAGATGGTTTACCTGAAACCTTTTTAGTGAAAAAGTAATATGTGAGATATTGGTAACATTATGTTGTGTTATGGACTTCTTGTGGTGGGAAAAATAATGAAGCTTATATGACTGAACAATGAAAACTGTACCATATGAATCACCTTAAAATAACAGCATAAGCTGCAGTTAAGGACAAGAAAAATTTGAAAGTTAAACCTACAGGGTGATACAGAATATAAAATATGTAATCTGTGAAGTAGGCTTAGTCTGCTATTCCACAAGCAACTGAGTAATCTTTCAGCATAACAGCTTGTAACCAACAGAAAGGTTTTGGTCTCTTTCTCTCTGTCTCCCCTCCCTTACAATGCCTTCACTTCTTCATTTCCACTGCTTTTGGAAAAGGAGAATATGATCATGCTTCTCTGGAACTTGCTCCTGGACGTGTAGGGTTTTTGATGACCTCACATAAACAACTTCATCAGAAAACATCAGATTTTATTTTTCCTTTTGTTGGGGTAATCTATCATGTCAATGGCTAAAGTGGATTACAGAAGGATTTGACAAAGTATAAGTTAGTAAGCAGCAAAGAAGGGACACAGGAGATTCTTTCATGGAGGCTAAATTTGTTATGGTCATGTCATGCACTCTTTAGGATTCATTTAGGTAACTGTGGGCTTCCTATTGGATTTGAAGAGCATTAAAACATAAACAAGTATCCTCTGTAACATAAGCAGCATCTAGTTTGAGACACATAGCTAAGAATAACTTTTTTTCTTTCTTTTTTTCAAGGAAATAATTTACCAGAATGTAACTATTTAGATAACTTACCCAAAAAATGTTGTCATATGATTCAGGAAGTTCTATATTTTAAAGAACAAGTTTATCTCCCTGATAGCAGGGATATGCATTTGTGATGTGGAAGAACAGTATACCATTGTCTGCAGTTTTGGCCTCTAGCATCCCAGAAAAATGGCCTGAATGACCATGGCTCTATTAGCTGTTCTTCATATACTTCGTCAAACCTTACAGAAACGACTCAGATTTGTACTGATGTCAAAACTTTTCCAATTGCAACAATTGTGAAATGAAAAAACATTTCCTAGGCAACTTTTTGTACTACTGGTTTAAATGTTGACAGTGTCTGGGATGCACTCCAGGGTGAATTTTCTTCTGTATTTGGTGCCAGAATTGTTCTTGCCACTGCTGTCAGGCAGTCCAAAGGAGATTTGCAGGTTTACCAAAATAATCTTGTAATGGTTAACTTTCTTGAATGCTCCATTATCATGATCCAGTCCTTTATCCCGTTCTCTTCCTCACAATAGCCTTGAAGATCTGTCATGAAGCACCTCCCTTCAATTTCAACACTATATTTAATTTTCATACAGGGAGCATGAATTAGGTAGGTGTCAACACAGAAATTCAGAATGTAATGCGTTTGGGCTGTGGGTGGTGGCAGCTTTATATTGCTGTTAAATCATAAAATACAGAATTTCACGTTTTTATCTTTGGTCTTCCCTCAGTATTGCTGTAGTACTTGGAGACAAGGATTGCAGTGTTCTTTACTGTCAGGCTTTTGAAGTTGTTTCCAGAGTGTGTGTTGTAGTTTCCTCACTTACTTTGTTCTGTTTTGTCTTCTGGTTGTTATTTTGTGTTCCATGAGAGCCACTGGAATTTAATTGAACCCTTTAAAATTGGTAAGAGTAACATATGGAGCACTGATTTCTACCTTGGCGTGGTCTGCTCTGCTTCTGAACAGTTCTTACTCAGAGTTTGCATCTAAGCAGTCTTTTTTCTCCATTTGTATTGTGCAAAGTCAAGTTCAAAGCCTCAATTAGATAATTTGAGTATCTGTATTAATCAATAAATAATAGGCATACATGTTTTGTTTAAATATTTTAAAGGAAAAGAACCTTGTGGCCCACCCAAGATCTTAGATGCTAAAGTGGAGGAGAGTTCTGAAGTACCTATTTTAGAAGACACGTCACTATCACCAACAGATATTCAACAGCATCTATGGCAGGTTTCCACAGATATTGAAAACACTGAAGGGTATGTGTAGTACTTCATTCCTAAACAAACAAATTTCTTTCCAGGATTTATTTATCTATTTTTTTTAATTTGACAGCCAGTGTTGCTACTATGAAAATTATAAGTAAATTAAATAACCTGTGAACTTCTCTGGTACATTTAACAGAATTTTTGGTTTTGTGAAATACTCCTGAAATATGCCAGACTCCAGTTATGCATTTCAAAATTAAAACCACAGAATCTAATTAATTTCAGTAGTTCCACCCATAGTTTTAAATTTGGAAGTTTTAGAAGGGGAACGGGAATGTTGTGGTATTATCTTACTCTTTTAACTATACAGTTGAAAGACAAAAATGAGACCCTTTACTAGAGAATAATCCTGATGGCCAACATTTCTTTGTGTTCTATTTTGAGGCTTTGTATACTAAGTTGCAGCCGAGATTTGAATTGTTAACATGCTCATTTGCATAAAGCCAAGTTCTGTTCTACTGGGCCATAGTGTGGAGAATAAACAGTGCAATTTTTTACTAATCATTCTGCTGCATTTCTGAGAACCATTTTATGTGTAGAAGAATGAAGCAAGACCATATTGGATTTAAATCCAATAGCATTAAGACTTTACCAGCCTGTAGTTCTGCCATCTATGTGCTAAATAGGAACTCTTTGGAAATTTCTGGCCTCTTTCAAAATGTATCAAAATGTGATTTGCTTTTGGAGATGATGTGTTGTTATCATATTTTCCATCATCTGCCTTCCAGAAAATCTAATGCCAGAGTCCTCCCAAGGCAGGTGAGAATGATAGCCCTGTTCCTAAAATTTTCATTTAATGTGCAGTGTTTAGTATCAAGGATTAGTTGCATATGTTGTAATTTTCTTCTGAACAGTGAAACACATTCATGGCACAAGCTACAAAATGCTGATAAGGGGTATGAAGATGATATTACTACTAGCTAATATTAATTTTAAGACATATTGTGTATTTTCCCTCAAGGGTCACATTGTGCCCCCAGAGGCTTTTAATGTTAAATACTCAATTGCCAGAATAGGTCATAAATTTGAACTAGGAAGTTAGTATCACACTTTCATAAAAGTGCTCCCCTATTAATTTCATTGCTCTTTCTTTTGGTATGCATCTTCTGAGACATGTATGTAAACCAAATGCTTGCTCAGTAGATTTTTGTATTTATTGCTCCATTATTTTTGCATATAAACTGTGAGCCATACCCTGTGCAGTCTCCAATTGTTGTTCCATTGTATCTTTTTAAACTGTTGTATCCACAGAGATATGAGAGAAATGAAAAACCTTTTAAGTAAACTCAGGGAGACTATGCCTTTACCATTGAAAAATCAAGGTAAGTTTTGAATTTTCTCTATTTATTAAAAATTAAGATAATTTAAGGGTTTTCCTTCCTTTATATACAAAAAAAAAAAAAAAAAATCTAGGGTCCTTTTATGGAAAGTACAAAAAGAAAAATCTAGGCAAAATCTCTTCCCTGCTGATTCAGTGGAGCCAGAATCTAGTACGTGATCTTTGGCCTCTTGAGTTTCATATGAGATATTCTGGAATTTATAGATACAGATATAGATAAAATAATAGACTTTTCCTGGTGATGCAAAGGCAGGAGCAGAACTACTTCACAGTGTCTGGAGTCCTTCTTTCTCAAAAGTAATGAAGGTGCAGTTTGCACAGACTGTGACAGGGATCCTTGGATCCTTCTGAGTGATGAGATTTGCTTCACCTCTATAAGGCTTGTAGCTTCTGTGACCTGACATTGACTTTCTGTAGAAAAGCTACTTGCCCTGAGTCTGCCACCAGGCTGCTTTTCCCACAGACAGCTATCAGATAGCCCATAGAAATGCACAGGTGGGCAGGGTCTCCATCCTATGCATGTATTTAGCAATGGGCGTTCATTTTGTTGGCATGTTAAATACTCCACATCTACAGGCACACTCTGTTTGTGAGAACAGCATTAAGGTAATAATTTTTCTTTTTGATTTCTTCTTGATAATGGGTGTTCCTTAAATGTGGTGCGGTCTTTGCACAGTGGTAGCTGATGAAATGTACTGAATGTGTCCTAGATCTTATCCCTAGTAACTAAGCAGCCTGGCATTCATCATAATACACTAAGAGATTAATATAGAATGATTCTATTCATTATTCAAGTAAGATTTCATGGTAGGAGAGCTTGATTGAAAACTATGTTGAAAAGTGAAAGGGAATCACTAGTGATACAGATGTACCATTGTAAAGACTGGAAGAGTGATGAAAAGTCCAGGCTTAGTCTAGAAGAAAAGAGTGTGCTGGAAATAAGGAAGGGAAAGACAAATTAGGGACATATAATGCAAAGAGAAACTTGAATTTAGAAGAGAGATAAAGGCAGATAAAGGCATACAGAGTTCTTCTTTGTTGCCTGGTGTCAACACTGCCCTTCAACAATGACCAGAAAATCACTGCCCCTGTGCAGCAGGATAGGAAGAGCATCCTAGGGTTTTAAAACTCGGAGATGTCCCCCAGGATCAGGTAATCATTATCATTATTATGGAGATCCTGTTAATTAGCATTGTAAGACTCTCAAATGCAAAATTCAGGTTATTATTTTCTCTGTGCTCTATGGGATCTACCACGGAAAGGGTTGTCAAGCATAGGAATGAATGCCAGGGAGGTGGTGAGATGTTCAGGAAAGGGCAGTACCTGGCACTTAATGCCGTGTTCTGAAGATGTGGTGCTGATCAGTTTTGGGTTGGACTCAGTCTTAGACACATAAATGATTCTGTGATCATGTAGGTGCTGCTAGGACACATAAATGATAAAATCTCTTTTCTGTGCGTATGTGTACATTTTTCATCACAGATGATAGCAGCCTCCTAAACTTGACTCCCTATCCACTGGTAAGAAGACGGAAGCGAAGATTCTTTGGATTGTGTTGTCTTGTCTCAAGTTAGAAGATTAGGCACAGAAGCACCATGGAAATCATGACTTTGATTAAACCCCTATTATTTGACCACTGAAAAGATAAAAGTATAAAGTATATTTTCTACACTAGGCTATTCATTTTTGTCTTCTGCTCCATCCCCCTTTCCAAGTGAGAATTTTAATACTCTCAAATTATGGTGGTCAAAAAATGGCTGTGGAATAGATCTAGCATATTTAAGTATGTTTTGCATGCTTACTTTCAATCACTCAAAGAAGACACATGAATTATGATTAATATATAATTTTAGAGGGTTTTTTTAACTGTTTGAGCTGCAGCTAAAAGTTTGTGTGTAGTACAGTACTCTTACTAGTATCATATTAAAATCATACTCTAACAGTCTTCAAGCATAGCAAAAGAACATTTGATTATTCTCTCACAGTCTTTAAGCATAGGAAACTATTTAAGAGCAAAACTATTAAAGTTCTAAGACATTCAAACAATACTGTAACAGAATTTGTACAAAATCTCCAGTTGCTTTTTTTGTGCTCTCATTCATATTTAGTCTTCCACTGTATCTCAAGTTCAAAGCTTTATAGAAAAATATCTTAATTTATGATAAAAAAATAATATATGAAAATATATAGGACTTGTAAATACAGAGAAATCATAATATCTATAAACTGTACAATGCTTAGAAGCAACAAATTTCCTTTTCAGGCAATGGTATATCTACAAGCTTTTGAAAAAAATAAATAATTTATTAAAAGAAGGCCTATTAAAATAAACAATGTAAAACACAATGCCAACTCATTTTGTTGCCAGTAGAATTCAAAGCATGATGTCTGCATATCAAGTATTGATCTTATTGATCTTGTAAGGCATGCCAAAATTATCTCAGACTGTAAGATACTAAACGTTTTACATTGTTAATAAAGTTTTTTATTTAAATTAAATGTTGTCTTGTTTCTAGTTGTATTGCCACACTATGTATTTTTTTCTAATTTTGTTGTCAGAGTACTACAAAAATTTGTTACAATATTTCCATTTCAACAGGAATATTTACAAAGAGAGATTAAAAAAATATGCATGACTAAATTCTTTAAATAGCACCAAGAAAGGTAACTTCAATGTGTTTGAAGATTTCAGGTCATGAACTATTCTTAGGCATATATATTCCAAAGCATCTGAAATTGAGAGATTCCTACACACGCAAATTTTGTGAGAGCAAACAACATTTTTAAGAAGAATGGAATCGAAGTCCGCAGCACAATGTTTTTCTGAGTTAATTCCTTAAAGTTTTCTGCCCATTTCTCATGGACCTTGCACTCACTAATCAGAGCTCTTGTCCTTTACATTCAGCATTGGCATGTCTTCATGAGAAGTCTCAAAGCAATAGAGTCACTCTCTGATTCCATCCCCACAGATACGCTAGATTTTGCAACTGCTAGAACTTTGGAAAAACAGCTCCTGGTGTCTAATAACTATCGAAAATACTGTCTGCAAAACTGATCAGTAGTTACAATTAACCAATTAATTTTTTTCAGCATAAGTAAAAAAGAAAGACATTAATGCCAAAAAAAGTATGAATTGAAGACTGAATGTACAGTGATGCTATAAGAAAGGGGGAAAGAAAATTTCATACAAGATTTCTTTAGAAGTCCTGTTTTTTGGTACACACAGAGAATCAGATGGGCAGATAAAGCAGTGACCTTGTCTAATTCATTACCTGCCCATATATCATCACAAGGAATTTCATATGCCAAGTGACATGACAGCTCATATCTCTGTGTTTTAACCACATGTATTGCAATGGAATATTACTGAGACAAATGCATAAACATCTTAATATTACCAAACTCTTGACATCAGTCATGTCACAGTGAGTTCCCTACCTTCAGTGGTAAGTATCACATTCTGTGATAGACTTGAACATGTTGTCTTCAAAGCCCTTTGAGACTGCAGTGTATTAAAATGTACAATGATATGCATCCCTGTACCTTTTGTTGTTCTGGAAATTTTGGCAGTGTTTCTTCTTCCTCAGCTAAGACTGCTAAAATCTTTGTTCGTTTTGAAGCCTTTCTATAATTCTAAGCAATCTAGCATCTTACCTGAAGCCTTTTGTATTGCTACTAATCCTAATTAGAGACATGCTGTAATTCCCAAGCTCTATGGCCACTTAAGGAATATTGGTGCTCGAGGGTGAACGGAAGTTCTCCTAACAGACAGTGACATGAACCAAGTCCTGGTAAGTATCTGAATTGGTGTCAAGGGATAAAAATTGGTTTACTTAGGAATGTAGTGGATTATCTTTTACTACTTCAAAAGGAAATAAAAGTTTTTAAGCCCCAGAACATGATGTCAGTAAAAGATAAAAGTTAATGATATTACTACATTTTAGTTTAATGGAATACAGCAATGTAGGATCAAAGTTCAAAAGCTCCCTCAACAAAATGATATACAAATTATTTTGAGATTATTTAGAACTATTATTTACTTTCCAAGTACTTTGAAATACTTCACTTTAAACTCCTAAATGTGTGCAAACAAGCAATTCAGGGACAATACTGAGGGAGAATGCTTTCTAAATCCTTCTTGGAGTTTGAACATTTTAGTTGAAAGTGTTGTGAGTTAAAGGCACCATAATTACTTTGCAGGGTAGGAAGCAAGTAAAAATTCCTCTTCCCACCAAATATGTCATTTCACCAATTCTTTTTTTTTTTTTTTTAACTAAAACTTTGTGCAGCTCCAGCTTTTCAAATTCTTTATAGCCAGCTTCCACTGGTAGCACATTATTTTCACAGATATTTCATGTGAAAAAGATACCATTTTTTTAATGTGAAAAAAAATATTTCATGTGTCATAAATTACCAGTCTAAGAAATCAAATATCTGTGTACACTGTAAGGTCTACATTTTTCAGAGCAAAATCAAACTACAAGCTTACAGCAGTAGACAGCACACTAACACATGCGGCAGGTTGCATGTTAATTTAACCAAAATGAGAACTTGCCTTGCAAAATCAGCATTTTAATTTACATACTAGGTCCACGTATATCCAATACAACTCAGAAAATCTGTGTCAGAGAATGGGAGAAATACAATAACCAACTTCTATCCCATCTGAGGAATGAATATATGCAGTGGTGCATTAAATGCCTATTGGTCTCATATCCGTGTAATGGTGAAATTCCTTATTATTTCTATAAGAGATACCATACCTATTGTCCAGCTTCATGGACAAGAGGCAAGACAAGCTAAAGATACATCTTCTGCTTGTACTTAGTCGTAAGTTACTCCAGTCAATGAGGAGACTTGTAGCAGTATTTTGGGAAGTTTGTGGTCCTGTTTAATT